GAGAGAGAGAGAGAGAGAGAAAAAAAAAGCGCCATGACTCGCTTGATGCGCTATTTAGCGGCAGGTGTTGCGCTTGTGTGTCTTTTCGGAGCGTCTGAATGTAAAAAGGCTTTTAAATGTCCTTCAGGATGCACCTGCTCCAAGGAGACCATCGTCTGCGTCGGGACCTCTCAGATCCCCCGGACTGTACCGACCGAGATCAACTCACTGTGAGGGCTGTTTTCCATTTGAACAAAAAATATTCACAAAACAAAGGATGCTGCGTTTAAAATGAAATCTGTCCGTCTATCATGTTGACWTGTTTGTGCTCCTCCACAGGAGCRTTGTAAACGGATCCATCACAGAAATCACAGAGGGGATGTTTTCACTGATGCCTTCTCTTCAGCTACTGTAAGTGCATCTTTGTCATAATCGTTATATTTGGAAATGATTATGAACATGTTTTATGCTACAGATATAAAGGGGTTTATTATGCTCRGCTGATTATGTTCAGCCAGCACAAAAAAATAAAAGGTTGGACTTCAAATCTGCTGTAGTAGTAGCTGATTAGTCTGAGTGCTGACTGATCACGTGAGATCTGGCATTAAATGTGTCTTTTAGCAAAAATCCCTCATGAACAGATTTTTAAGGAAATTTCAGCAGATAATCACTGAGTGTACAACTTATTGACTTTTKAAGTCATCTTTATTTTAAACGTCCGCTACAGACAACTGAGAGACACCGAAATGGTTATGAGTTACAGATAGTGAGCTGAAACAAAATGMGGTAGTAGCTGAGAGTCACCCTTAACACACTCTTTAAGCTTTAACATATTGTGCAAGATTTCAAAATATTACATGGGATCATGCGTAACATCTATTATAACATTATAGAAAAGCTTGGCAGCGATGCGCGTTCCTTCAAGGAATGCAACAACTTCTCATCTTAATGTATATTTTATTTTTCTTCTAGGCTTCTAAATGCCAACTCTCTGACCACCATCAAAGACGACACTTTCTCTGGTCTGTCTCATCTCGAGTATTTGTGAGTATTTGCAAAAATAGTCTTATTGTAGAAATGTCTCCATTTACCCAAAATTCTCTTTTAAAGAAAAAAAAAAACACCGGAGCACAGTGTGACAGTATTTAAT